ACAAAATACAGAAAAACAGAAATATTATAATGTAATTCTAATATATATAATATAAATGATGTGCTTGTAAAATACTGAATAGTATTGTCTGAAGTTATAAGGTTGATATGTTGTTATTATATGAGGTATTATTTGAATTAATATCTTCAGCTTTGATGTTTCCATAATCACATTTTGATGGATGCATTCATATAGTTGAGTTATGTCAAATTGGTAACAGCATCCTTTGCTGTCCTGGGTAAGATGATAAACTACATCCGTGTCCTAGGTAAGACGATAAACTGCATCTGACAGTAAGGCCTTTGATCAGGAGGTTTTGAGGAGCCTGGAACCACTTCTTAATTTCTGTAGTTCCCGGGTCCACTCTAACCCAGGGTTGTGGCACCTGTTGGGGTCCCAGCTATGGGCAACTAGTTACTCCCCAGAAAAATGGGGGGGGGGGGTCAAAACACAGTGAAAGTATAAAAATGGGTTTTAATACCAGCAATATTTTTTTTTTTTGAAAAATTATCAGCAATACATTTTTGAAGAAAGAATTATTACCTTCAATACATTACCAGCAGTACTCTTTTGAAAAAAAAAATATTACCAGCAATATATTTTTGAAAAAATATTACCAACAATAGATTTTTGAAAAAAATATAAGAAATAAACAATTTTGTTGGCATTAAATAACCCATTGAGCTGTAAAACAAAAAAAAAAATAAAACAAACCTAACCAGCATTCTTTGGCTATAGAAATGATTTTCCTGATAGAAAAAAGGGATACAGTTTCAATTCCTGTTTAGAGGCACATTTTTCTTTAGTCAGGTTTCATAATTTAGGCTGGTTGTTATTAATTTCACTGTTTAAGAAGAAAAAAACAAAACAAAAAAAAAATAATAATCCGGGATAATAACTCAAAAATATGTACCAACTAAAAATAACGTTTATAGTAATAAGAAATACTTAATTATCCCCAAGCTACTTGGAACATTTTTATTCTACTAGTAACTTATGGTTTAGCTCTTCATGATGTGTATGATCATGGCTCTCCATAGTTTCCTGTTCATTGTAACTCTTAATAATTTTTGTTTTCTTACCATCCCTCCGACTCTCTGTTCTGCCATCAATTTACACAAGATTCTTAAGTAAGTTACTCACTCTTTTGTCCTTTTGATATATCCTGTGAGGGTAAAATTTTTTACGCCCTCTTTCCTCATATACCATCTAAATTCACAGTGATCTATATGACTTCAGAAAGATCTGAATCCTGTGTGTCTTTATATAGGGTTTGTTTTTCGTTTGTTTTTCTTTTTATTCTGTGGGTGTTCATGTTTCTAATTAGATACTCATTTTAGGTGTGAGCCTTGGGATAATTCTTTTGTAATTAAAAATTATTTAGAAAATGTTTTTGTAAATTTGTTCTCTGCATTGATCTCCATTGATTGTCTTTAGATTTATCCTTTGATTGTCTCTCCTCATCAATATACGAAAAAGAAAGAAAAGCCTGGTGTTTAGCTTGAATATAATCCAGCAATCTTCTAGAAATAAACAGGGGGGGCGGGTCTTCGATAATTTCCTCAACTCATTATCCCCACAAAGCACTGTAACTACAGGTAAGTTCCTAGGCACTGTCATAGGGACCTGTGTGCAGTTACCGGAAGGTAGGTTGATTTTCATTCATCTTAATATTTTTTTTTTTTTTTATTAACACTTTTACTGATCTGTTATCATAGAGAGTAAATTTATATAGGATTTCTAAAAAGAGATGTTTTCTATTTAGATCTTGTTTGTGTTTGTCTACATTGCAATGTTTTTGTCTATGTTTGTGTCTCTGTTGTGTGTGTTGTATGTGGAGGGGAAAGTTACATAATTTTACAGTTCTTCTGCTCTTCAATTACTATTTTAAGCTAAAAATCTAAAACATGAAACAATTTTTTCAAAATGAATTTCTTCTAGCACTGTCCCATAATCTTTGTTACATTTGCATGCACAACTTGTATACAAAATGTAACAATAATTATTTGACAAAGGTAATATTAAGAATACTGAAAAAATAGGCAAACATGGACCTTTGTGCCAGCAAAAAACGGTGTTTCGGAAGGGTGGTTTTTCCATTGACACTGCTGTTATTTTAACTAAATTTACTCCCTCAGCAATGTTTGCTTACATGATTATAAAAAAATTATTTATATTTTATAAAGATTTATTATTTACCATTTTATGAAAAAGTAAATGGGAAAAGTATTATTTGAAAAATCATGATTCTCAGTTAATGTTTGTCATTCTGTAATAATTGAAACATTTGTCTACCCCAAGTTCAAATCAGTTGGTCTTCAGTTTTGGCACAGTACAATGTATTTATTTATATTTTGTTTACCTGTAATTATTAATGTCTCTGGCACACACACAGTTTATTTTGAGAAGGAAAATCTTTATTTTACATGAAGTTTGTGAACTTTTCTAATCGACACATACACTTTTCACTCACCAAATGAATTTTTGTTTTCATGTCTGAAACTCGGCAAGATTTAATATTGATATTTTATGTAGGTTCAAACTGAGTTAAATTTAATTAGTGTTTTGATTCTCTTTTGGAAAAGATATTGGTCACTTGTTTTGTCACTGATGATCATTGCTATGGTTATTTGCCAGGCTATTTATTAAGTTAAATGATTGTTTGTGAATCTTTGTTCTTGCTGCTTCATTTGTTTTCAAAATTATGTGTGCTTTTAAAATAATAATAATGGTAGCATTATTGTACAAAACTAGAAGATATTAAACATTGTTTTATTTCTTGGAAGAACATACTAAAAAGTGTAAATCTGTATTTAGACTACTTTGTAGGGCAGACTGGTCTCTTCAGCCTTGTTTGACAACCAGTCTAGGAGAAGGACAACACTGAATTCAAAATTGGTTGGGTGTGGGGCTAGCAACCACATCCCATAAAAACCTACTTGCTATGGAAACCGTGGCAGAAAGTCTAGTGCATTGAAAGCTGTGGCTTCATACTTCACAGTTGGAGTCTACAGGAATTGAGTGTAACAGTAAATAAGTATAGGAAAAATGAGTGGAGTGAGGGGACTTTGTAAAAAAAGAATTAGCTGTAATGTGAATGATTACTGAAGTGTTTTAATATGATTTAGTTATATTGTTTTCATATCCAGTTGCTTGAACTTTGATGGATGATATGTAATTAAAAACCAAACACAGATATACTGACTTGAAATTGGAATATAGAAATGAAATGCCAATATAAATAGAATTCTATTGAATCTGCTTCTTGTATGATTCATCATCTTTATCTGATCAATTTTTTGTTTATCAATCTGTGATATATTTGAAAGAATATTTCAACTTTTTTTTTTTTTTTTTAATAGCCTTGATTATTTTACTTATCATCCTTAATGTAGAACCATCAAATGAATCATGCCCAGATGTTGTTGCTTAGCAACTGGGTCAATTTATTCATCTTCTCCTTATTTTGTTTTTATTTGGCATGGAAGAAATGGATGTTAGTCAAAGAAGCTGATCAATGACTGACCCTTCCAAGTGAAACAAAATGCACATCAGGAGGGTAGACTTGTAGTGCCATGATCATAAATTACTGGAAGCCCTGGGGAGAAGATGACTGAGTTCATGCTGTTATAATGAATACCAACTGCCTTAGCTGTGATTTGATCTTTTTACTGTAATTAACTGTTACTCACGTCCAACTTTGTGGATTCCAATAAACAGCAGGAGGTTTGTCAAACCTGCTTATCAAAATAAACTCAAAAATTTGGTTCAATATGAAACCTTAGCCAATTTCTACTCAGAATTAGTTTGTTAGTCAGCTTTTGGCTGACAAGCTGCATTATCTCTCACAATAACATTTCTGTTTTTGGACAAAACATAACAAAATAAATGATGGATGTCTGGTCCCAGGGACTCCAACTCTGTGGCAGCACCTCCCTTGTTGCACCAGAGAGAGAAAGAGAGGGGGTTGGTGGAATTTTTGGCCTGAGGTCAGGTGCTTGGGTTCCCCACTTTAAACTGGCCTTATGCCACATCACAACATCATGGGGGTGGATCGGATAACTAGTTTGTTAGCTGCCTGGGGAAACTTGGCCAGTTGTAACTAATTTATTCATATTAACACATGATGAGTAATTACATTAATAAAAAAATTAATGTATCAATTACATTATTACATAAAATTATACATTTTTTAAAACCCTATTTAGCAATTAAAGAATTGTATTATATCTTTGCTTTCATTTAAGACAGAATTATTGTTGTTTTCTGGTCTCCTACTGTTCCTTATAATGTCCAGAATTAAATTCAAGGTTAAGTTGGGTAGGGGATTTTGAGTGGAAAGTGGTCCCCCCTTGTTTGCTATCAGAAGAGTGGCGATGCATAAATTACAAAAAATAAATAAATAAATGTCTTTGCTGTTATATTTTATGCTGTGTCAAATTTAACTCTTGAATTGGGGTTTCAGAACAATAAAAATATTGTATGCTTTATAAAAGATTTGCTGTAAAAGGAAGCTGTAATCATTTAACTTATCAGCTGTTCTATTTAAAGAAACACTTGAATGTGTTTGAACTAATTTGTAATAATCTGTTTGAGAAACTTCTGACTAGAAAAAGAATAAGCAGAAGAAATGTTTCTGTATTTGTTAAGCGTTTTCCTACCAAATCTTATATTTATTTGTTGCTTGCGTTTGCAAAATCATTTGTTGTAATGATTGTGACCGTTTTTTTTTTTTTTTTTTTTTTTTTTTTAATTTTATTTACGTGTGTGTATGTATAAAGGCTTGTATACAGTGTGGTCAATCCTCCCTCCTGCACATATGGATGGTGTGTTCTTGTGTGTTCATTACTAACAGGACAATTGTATATATGTTCATCTTCTCTAAATTTCTTTGTAATTGTTTGACACATTTTCAGTACTTTCTAACCAATTTTATTTTATTCTGTTCTTTCCAAAGTTTTTATCATTCTTCAGTTTACACATGGTTTCTGTTTTTACAGCAGACAAGCCTCGGAATCGGTCCTCTACAACAGATTCAGCCAAATCTGACAAGTCAGCAGGTTCTACAACCTCTACACAGTCCAAGAGCAGCAGAAAGGCAATTTTCGATCGGTTGTCAACACCCAAGAAACCAGCCGAGACACCTAAAGTGAGTTATTGATTTTATTTTTATTTTTTTCCTAAAACAAATTATTTGTAAACCCAGTAAATTTCAATCACTTGAGGCAAAGCTTAATGCATCAGTTAGACATAGTGTATTTCCTGGTATCAAAAACTCTTTTTAGTTTGAAAAATAAACCTTATCATGTGTGCGACAAAAAAATAAGATAAAGAGAAGTAAAAGGAACTACAAAACATTTTATAATTTTTATAGTTTGAAATCTGTTAGCCTCAAAGGATTGGTTGTCAAAGATGCTGTTATGGTGATTTTCTAAGCATACCTTAGATGTGGCACCTAGTTATGATCGATCGAGCTCACTACACTGTTGTGATTGTTCTAGCATGACAAACTTAACCATTACACATTGACAAGGTGCCTTCAAAGATGATGTTCAGATGATGCACCTGCCCATGATGCAGTAAAAAAAAAAAATCATAACATTTGAAAAACTGCTTAATTATCAAAAGAAAAAAAAAAAAAAAAAAAATTAAATGCTTTCTTTAGATGGATATCTAACTTCACTCCAGTGTAAGTATTTAACCTGGTTTGTAATAATCCTGGAACATCCACTGAGGGTCAAGCTCCTTAACTTATGTATCATTAAAATTAGTCTTTATTAAATACTAATATCATTTTGAAAAGTTTCAGATAAGTTGGTGCTGTCTTATTTAATATTTGTTTACCAATACAGATTTTCTCCTTGTTGATAGAATTTCTCTTTTGAAATTAATGAGCAAATTTCTTGCCTCTTCTCTTTTTCCTACATGATCAATGCAAATTTACAATTTTAAATTTCATTTATGAGTTTTGTCCACTTGGCATTAGTAGATATTGACAATTCTAATTCCCTAAATCAATACATGAGCACACAGTATTGTTTTATTTATTTGCTACTTGGCGTAGAGATTATTTAGCAGAATGTTGGAGTAAAATAAATAAGAAGTAAAGCTCCTTTTTCAATCCTTTGTCTCCAAAGGAAAACTTGATTCAAACCAAGACAAAAGAGATCTTTATTTTATGGTTAGACAAAATGCGTTTTGAATAACAGAATCATATATATAAGTAATGAAAATTGATTGAATAATTAATAAAGTTCTTCAGATTTTGTTGAAGCCGGTTATGGCTTTAGAATCGGCCAATTGAATTATTAAAAAGTATAACTTCATGATGACTGCAATGAAAGACCACAGTCACAATTGTTCTTGACCTGAGTAAAATATTTAAAATTCCACATATTAGGTTGAAATTGAACCTTGTGCACAATGGAAAGAATGAACAACAAACATAATTATTGACAAAGGAAAAAATGATTTTGTTCTGTCTCTGATTGGAAGAAAAGTTTTCTTGCTTTCTAAATAATCAAATTTATTTAGAAACTGCAAGAACTTTCCTTTCAATCAGTTAGAAATACTTGAATGGAAATAGAAACCAAAATTTCTCAAGTTTCAGCAGCTAGATAAGTGGTAAATATTTTGCCTTTGGTATTTGGTGCATCAGGCTCACTTAGCTTCATTTGAAGCAATAGTGATGGGGAGGTGGCTTTATTTAGTGTCAGTTTCCCCAAAATGTTTCATGTCATGAATTTCTACTTTTTTTTTAGTTTATCTTGATCTGTTGTTCTATATTCTGAGAAAATGTAGTTGGCTTAACACACTGTACGTAATGACTTCTTGCCCCAAATCAAAGATTGACCTCTGAGGGTCAGATGAAAAGTTCATAGGCTGATGATGATATTCTCATGGAATGCGACTAAATGATGTTTATTTTTCAACATGTCCTACTTGCAGTCTACACCAAAAAAAAATCACCAACAGCAGATATGACATCAGCATCACAGTGATACTGGTTTCCATCCAAGTGAACTTTTTATTTAGTCCACTGGGGGTAGTGGATAAAAGCATTGGTTGGTTGTGAGTTCAATACCTGGCCACAGCAGAGGTGAACAAAACGTTGAAGAGTTGTATTACTAAAGGGAAATAACTGAAACTGAGATAAGCAGAAAACACATGGTACATGGAATGAGAACAATCTACCCCGATAGGCTAAATAAAGTGTTCGGTTTGAAATTTTAACATATATCAGTTGAAGAAGGCTGAAACTTACAATGGCTGAAACATGAATATGACAATAAAGATGAGAACAATGATCTGAATAATGTAAATAGTTAAATAGTTGCAATACCTCATCTCAAATATAGACAGATGTCATTCATAGTTATTTACCTTTATATGAGAGACACTTTTGTGTACTTCAATAGTCTGGTTCAGTCTATTCCTTCATGTATCTTGCATCTGTCTGTCACTGCTCATTGATTCTTATTATAATCTTGTGCCATTTTCTTGGAGCTATGCTGATGTTCAATTCGTTTTCTGTCTTGCTTGCTTCTGCATAGGCATTTTAAAGGAAAGCCTGTGTGTCTTCTCTTTTTGACTGCTTTAGCAAGCTCTCACCTCCATTGTTTTAGTGATCTCCCTGACTCCATCTTAGTTGTATTAGTAATCTAGTTGTTAGTTCTTACAGCCACTGCAGCATCTCTTACCCTTCTTGTATCTCTACTGCATGTTTTTCTCACTGGCCATTTTAGCAGACTCCCTCCCACTCTTCTTTCTCTCTGGCTATCTTTAGCCATCTCACTCCCTGTCTCTCTTCTCTCTGGCCACCTTAGCCATCTCATTCTGTGTCTCTACTCTCTCTGGTCACCTTAGCCATCTCACTCCCTGTCTTTCCTCACTCTGGTCACCTTAGCCATCTCACTCCCTGTCTCCTGGTCACCTTAGCCATCTCCTCCCTGTCTCTCCTCCTCCTCTGGTCACCTTAGCCATCTCACTCCCTGTCTCTCCTCACTCTGGTCACCTTAGCCATCTCACTCCCTGTCTCTCCTCACTCTGGTCACCTTAGCCATCTCACTCCCTGTCTCTCCTCACTCTGGTCACCTTAGCCATCTCTCTCCCTGTCTCTCCTCACTCTGGTCACCTTAGCCATCTCACTCCCTGTCTCTCCTCCTCTGGTCACCTTAGCCATCTCCTCCCTGTCTCTCCTCCTCTGGTCACCTTAGCCATCTCACTCCTGTCTCTCCTCACTCTGGTCACCTTAGCCATCTCCTCCCTGCCATCTCTCCTCCTCCTGGTCACCTTAGCCATCTCACTCCCTGTCTCTCCTCACTCTGGTCACCTTAGCCATCTCCTCCCTGTCTCTCCTCTGTCTCTCCTCCTCTGGTCACCTTAGCCCCCCCCACTTTTCTCTCTGGTCTGGTCACCCTTAACCCCCCCTTTAACCCCCACACACACTTTTCTCTTTGGTCACTTTAGCCACTCCTTGCATCTCTTCTCTGTCTGGCCACTTAAGACATCTCCCATTCCCATTTCTCCTCTGTCCAGTCTCTGGATTTTTTTGAGGTCATTTATTATTATTATTATTATTTTTTAATTGTCATCATTTTTTTTTTCTTCTGCTTTTGCAATTGTAGTAGGTGGTGTTATGTTACTGCTATCTTCAATTTAATATTCATTTCCAATTCTTTCAGAACCACTTAGCCCATCTCATTTTCTCAAAGCTTAACAGATTTATTAAATGGGTTTTTTTTTTTTGGTTTTTTTTTTTTACACGTTTTATTTGAATCATTATTAAATGCAATCAAGCCTTGTGTTTTTTACCCAGTTCTAAACCATGGAATTGGGCCTTTCTCCATTTAAGTGTGTATCAATCCTCACTGGGGATTTACTTGAACTGTATGAGTAGGCCATCACTCACCTAATTTCAGTGAGTAGAAAAAGTGAAGGTAATTATAAATTTTCCCCTAGACTTCTACATCATGGTCCTTAGTTAAAAATCCCCAGGAATTCTAACTTGGTCAGTTAAGTGCCATACATAATACATGTTTGGGTGATCATATCTCTTGTGATTCATGACTGACTATGCAGAAGATTTCCTGCAGTAGTTTGCTGTTTCTTTCTACAGTAGACTGGTTGCCAACCAAGGCCATAGGACCAAGTTTATTTACCTGTGGCTGGGGGTAGAAGAGATGGATTCATGCCTTTCCCAAGGGTATTTACATGTAAGTGAATGTAATGGACTTGACTGGAATTTGAACTCGGATCTCTGATTTCTCATTCTGAACCATTATCCATTACACCATCTGCACATCTAAATTGTGACTTGAAATAGAACGGGCATTACTTTTTGACTGATCCTTATAGTAATGTATTGAAATATATTTCATAAGGCACATATGATTTTTAATTTTTTTTTTTTTTTTTTTTTAATTTGGGAGCCTAACACACTTGTGCAAATAGATATTCAGCTAGTTTAGTATATAATAGTTAGTATGTGTTCTTGAAACAAGAAATGTAGTTACTTTATTTGACCTGTGCTGGTCAGGTTAGTTATTCAAAATCTAAATAGAAGGATTGTTTATATTAACTCTCTCTCTCTCTATTTTTCCATTGTAAAGTAGATTCTTTTTTCCATTGTAAAGTAGATTCTAGAAAAAAAAGGATTAATGAGAGTGAAATAGTAAGAGTGGATAAGTCTAATCCGTTTAGTGGCTTAACTGAACAGTTGCCTCACTCAGACTTAGCATTCTCTTAACTATCAACTTAAATTTTGTTGCTTCAATATGGAACACCTGATGTGATTATCTCAATTTACATAATCTGTTAAAGGTTTCAAGCATATGTCCTCTGAATATATTAATAATAATAATGATGATGATGACAATACAGTTTTAAAGGTGATGCAATTAAACATGAGCCGACACCTGCTGTTTTTAGGCTAACTGATGACCATATGATTTTAGTGTTTGCCTCATTTGATGATAATATAGAGTTATACTGATTCGGTGAATTATTGCTACAAGTTTGATATAACTGACTGTAAAGTTTGTTTTTTTTTTTTGTTTTTTTTTATTAATGGATTTCTGAAATTGTTAGATTGATCCATGTTGAATAAGTGAAGACAAAAAACTTAATGAAGTCTTTCTCTGTTATTACTCATTCAGAGAAATGAAGTGTAGATATACTTACCTATGCTTATTGGGGACAATAAAAATATGCTTCTGCCTGATAATTTCCTGTTGTTTTATACTGTAAACACCAAAGAAAACATTTGGTTCTGGTAATGATGAGATTAGCTGTTTCCTTACAAGGAAACATTTTATATTCATTGACTCAACAGTTAGCATTACTGTCGATTGAAATTTCTAAGATGTTTCTCTTAAAACAGTTTCTTAGAAAAATAGCCTTCTCAAGTTCACTGTTGTTGTTCTTTTGACTATTAATGGGAGTTTCCTTACTAACTTTTTGCTTAAGGTAATGTGGAAAGTCAACATCCTGATTACATGTGCTATCCATTCTAATTACTGCTGCTGCTACATCTTTGAGTGATGTGATTTCTGTTCTTTGATAATGTTCTTTGTGATTCTGTAGCTCCAGTTTATTAAATACTAGCAGTAGAGCCCGGCGTTGCCCGGGGATGTAACAGTAAGAGATAGATCAAGTATCGACCATCATAAAGACTGAAAAATAAAATTGACAAAGATTATTGTTTAAGGTTGACGGACACGCATGTCTTAATTATTTATTTATTTATTTTTATTTTTTTTTTTTTTTTTTACAAATTGGTCAAACCCAAACTCAAACCAACCAAAAACATTGTTTTCAATCGTTATGAGTCTATCGATTGAATAGAATTTTATTATAAACAATTGTCTTGTAAATGGAATTTTTAAAGCATTCTGAATGTAAAAATAAAGAAAAAAAGTGTGCAAGACACTAAGAAACACTACCTGCCAAAAAAAAAAAAGTGAAGTTTTGTTGAAATCGGTTGAAAAATGTAGGAAATCTGATCCCATATATAAACGAACACACACACACACAAAAACAATCTGGGTTTTATAATAAGTATAACTCAATATGAGTTGTCCCCCTTTCATTCTGCCGACAGAATTGTGTTTTCAAATTGATTTCACACAAAAACAATTGCGTCTTTCCAATTTTTGGTGCTGTCAGAACCACCGCAAGGTAATTTTATGCAGTCCTGTGAAGTTTTGTTGAAATCGGTTGAAAAATGTAGGAAATCCGACCCAATATCTAAACGTACACACACACACAATCTGCATTTTATAATAAGTAAGATGATGAAGGATAGTCTTCTTTAAAATTTACAGGGTGGCCAATAGAAAATATATTACAAAAAAACTATAACATGAAAAGAAAATTAATCTCTAAATTCAAAAGAACAACCGTGTTAAGATAAATGAATAGAAAGGTAACTTCTCTCTCACTTATGTATTCTTCTTTCTAAAACAAATTGTCTTCTATTAGTTAATGATTTAACATGCATAAGTAACAGGACATTGAATTTAATCTTTTATCTATCCAGAATTTGAAAAAAATCCTGGTACATATATTTACCCATATTCAGACTATTGAATGTTCTTCGTGTCACTTTGTTAGCAGAATATTTTGGTTGTTCAATTCTACACCCTTCTTCTGAGATACCACCCATAAAGAAAAAGGAGATAAACTTTTTTTCTTTTTAAACAAAAATGGTGACTGGCTTGACTCATTTTCAGCAACACATATACCAATGATACCATTCTTAGCAACCTGTGTAATACCGGTGATTACATATTACATATGGGGGATATTCACCAGTAGTATTGTCCATGTGGCTAGTATTGCTGGGAATGAGTTGAGATTGTCAGTATATTAGCCATATTTTGGTAGAAAATAGACCTCTCTCTCCTTTGCTTAAAGGATTGTACAAGTGAAGAATAGTCAGGCTGAAATATTGTGTTGACAGCACAAAAAATAATTTGAATAATTATGCTTAAAATGTCTATTAAAAAAAAATGAAGCTTTTGCTTGTCATAATTTTAGTGTAGAGAATATTTTGGTCTTGATCTTATCAAACAGTTGATTCATTCTATTAATGATCCTTATACTTCATTTGATAGAGAAACAGAATGGTAAGTTAGTATTTTTGAAGATAAGACATGAATAATGTCTGTAGTCTTTTTTCTTTCTTAATAGCTTTTCTTTAGTTTCTACATTTATTTTGTATGCTGAACACTTAGCCATTAATTTCTGTTTTTTGTGCACTGTCCTATGGTGAACAATACTAAAACTTACAGTAGTTGTGGCTGAGCTGTAGATATTTGTAATGTAATTACATACATTTCACTGTTGTTAGTAATGTGGCTGTTGGATGTTTAAATCTTAGAGCAGCCATTTAGGACTTTTTGCATGCCTCTCACCATTTGTACCACTGATGACCTTTGTGTTTTCTCTCCAAGAGTATGGCTGACTACTTATTAAGTTTAAGCATGCTTGCACCCATCTGTATATCAAAGTTGAGTTTTTCTGAATATAAGGGATCCTCACTTGATGATGGTTTTCAAGTTTGGTCAGTTTCTCTCACTCTCTCTCTTGCTTGTTCTTTCACTCTATTTTTCTTTCACTCTCTATCTATCTCTCTTTCACACACTCTCTCTTTCACTCTTTATCTATCTCTCTTTCACACACTCTCTCTTTCACACACTCTCTCTCTTTCACACACACTCTCTCTTTCACACACACTCACTCTTTCACTTTCTCTCTTTTTCACTTTCTCTCTTTTTCACTTTCTCTCTTTTTCACTTTCTCTCTTTTTCACTTTCTCTCTTTTTCACTTTCTCTCTTTTTCACTTTCTCTCTTTTTCACTTTCTCTCTTTTTCACTTTCTCTCTTTTTCACTTTCTCTCTTTTTCACTTTCTCTCTTTTTCACTCTCTCTCTTTTTCACTCTCTCTCTCTCTTTTTCACTTTCTCTCTCTCTTTTTCACTTTCTCTCTCTTTTTCTCTCTTTTTTCTCTTTTCTCTCTCTTTTTCTCTTTTCTCTCTCTCTTTTCTCTCTTCTCTCTCTCTTTTTTCTCTTTCTCTCTCTCTCTTTCTCTTTCTTTTTCTCTCTCTCTCTCTTTTCTCTTTTTCTCTCTTTTTCTCTCTTTTTCACTTTCTCTTTCTTTATGTTCATACAATTCATCAGCTGAATGTAGAAAATGTGTGAGAGAAAGAGAGGGAGGTGTTGTGTAGGAATTCAGTTCAATGTAGTTGTGGGCTAGTGACCAGAAAAGTGAAATAGTGAGTCATCACTGTCAAGTTGGTTACTCACAACATTCAGGAGCTCCTTATTTTCTTTCCTTTCTTTTTTTATCTTAGTATTTTTCGCTGTATATCTGATTCACTTTATCCCTTCTCACTCTCACATGGTATCAGTTTTGCTTGTTGCTGATAACCAATTACAACTATTAAAGAGTTATTTTTACCAGCATTTTATTATTTTTCTTTTTAAAATCTAGTGTTTTATTTTAAATTAATCTCTTGGTAACTAATTTGCTTCTTTTTATTTTGTTGTCCTTCTTGTGACACATTTTTACTATCCATAGACCTAATTTTTGTTATAAAACCAGATTCAGTGTATATGAGGGAGCCTTAAAAAAAAATTCTTGAACTAATCAAGAAGCCTCCCCTCAAAATTTTGATAGTCACAATTTAGAAAGTGAATTGAATCAATCTGTTCAGTACCCTCTTGTATGTTTCATGGAACAGAGCTCTCATAGTTTAAATGGTTAATGCTTTTAGCATCTTAAATGTAATCATCTTATTTTATAATTAGTTACAACTGATAAGTTTTTTTTTTTTTCTTCTGATTTTCTATACACATCAGTGTATGCCAAAAATTGCAAAGATCAAAGCTTAAACACTAAATTTCCCTCCACTTCCTACTACCAAAAATACTTTATACTAAAATAAAATTAATGTCAGGTTATTCTAAAAGTGCTACTACTAGTATACCTATCATATGGTCAGATCATTGGTAACTAAACAGGTTCCTCCACCAGTCTTTTCTGGTGAAGAAGGTGGCTAGACACCCTGCAGGATTAAAAACATGTCAAAGGGCAGATGAAGCTTCTGGTAGGCTCAATGGGCATCCATTACAAATAGGTAGACAGGGTTCCATCATTATGTATGCAGTCAGCGTGGTGACAATAATGTCATCACTGGCGAAGGTCTTCCTTGGCTGAAGTCAAAATATTGTCTACCTATAATGTGTTCAAAATATGCTCATCATTTTTTTTTTTTTAATATTTACACTCTTTGTTGTTATTGTAATCCACGTGTAAATAATGTAGAGTAGATTCTCAATGTATTCAAACCAAAAATCCCTCTTAAAACATCTATTTTCTTGCTGTCTTTGTGAGCAGGTACATTGTCTTGCAAAAAAAGAGGAGAACTTTGCAAAGCTTTCCTGATATTTCTCTTAGTAGTCATCTGAATGAATTGTTTGACCTTTCTGAAGATTGTCATCAATCTATGTTCCTTATTCCAAAAGCACCATGACCTTTCTGTTGACTTTTTGACTCTTGAATTTCTTCAACTGAAATGAAGTGCTGCCACTGCATAGACTTTTGTTTGGTCTTCAGTTCATTTTAGATCAACTATGTCCCAGTAAATTATTGCTTGATCACTGAAAAAACATTTTTTTGATCACCTTTCACAAATTTTAGTAGTGGCTTGGCTGGCAACATTTGCATAAGCAAATACTCTGAATTATAAACCCAATGTGTTTTATGGATATTTCTAGTGCCTCAGCAATTTTTTTGGCTGAGACTTGTTGATTGGCCAAAATTAAGATCAACAATTTGAGGAGTTGGCACCAGTGAAGGCCTTTCAGACTCTGCTGCATCTTGGTCTCAAAATTTTCTTGCTAGAAGCTGGCACACCAATTCTTCACAAATGTGTATACCAGACACTTGTCACCCAATGTTTGACTCGTACATTCATGGATGTCTTTTGGAGTTTTCTTTTCTTCAGGATCAGGATCTTCAAGACAGGCCGGATTTCAATATCTGTAAATTCGATACATTCTGCTGACATCCTTCAGTCAATGATGTGAAATAAACTAAGCACAATGGTCCTGCAAATTGGCACTTATACAAAAGATCACTCTTTTCAGTTAGAGAGAAAAATTTTGGAAATGGACTTGACCAAGATCATTTCAGCATCCATTTTGCAGTGTATACAATAATTTTTCTCCCCATTTTCACAAGTACCTTTCACTGTATGTAATGTTTATATTTTGGAGACAAATGACTTAGTTACTATTGCTAAATGAGAGATATTAGCAGCTTCTTTTGAGCTAATGTAGAAACTATTAAAGTGCAATGCTTTCTCATTTTAATTGGGCAACTAAAGAGAATGCTGCTATTTGTACATATGTAGGCTTTGGTTGTCCTCAGATTTAATTGGTGTTCTGTTTTCTTTTTTTTCTTTTTTTCTATGAAATGATTACATTGAAATATAAGATAGTGGTTTCACAGTTGTATTGTTGGACATGTATCTTTTGTTTAAAACAAAAAACAAAACAAAGCTGATGTAGTAAATACAGCAAGGTTATTTTATTGTATCTTGGCAGAAGATGGCTATTGACATTGCATTTAAATTTTTGAAGATCATAATTGGCAGGAAGCCAGAAGAGAGTTCCACAAGTGAGAAGTGGGAGAAAAGAAGCATAGAACTTAGGGTTGCATCTAGCAATTTCAACAGTGAAATTATAAGACCTAGCTGAGCTTAAATTTGTGAATTTCAGGCACCAATGAGGAAAAGCTCATTAGGACATTACACTGGTGGGAAAACAAGCCAACTTGTCCAGTCAGGATTGATACCTTTGCAGATTCTTTGGTTTTTGTCAAGAATCTGTAGATACATAGCAGAAGCACCAGACTAGATGTAGCAGCAGTATTCAATATATAGAATTTAATACAAATATAAAGTTTGTCATTTAGCTGATTGGTGTTACCTTCAGCATCCTGACTCTAGAATTTCATAGATGGACCCTCCAGTAATCACTCTGTTTATTCATCATTCATCAGGAGATATCAGCAATTATATATATATATATATATATATAGGAGGCACGGTGGAGCAGTGGATAGCGGCTTGGATTGAGGAATCGCAGAGCCGAGTTCGAATTCCAGTCGAATCCATTACATTCACTTACGTGCTAATACCCTTGGGAAAGGTATGAATCCTCTTCATCTCCCTCCAGCTATGGGTAAAATAGCAGGACAGACTGGGTTCTATAGCCTTGGATGGCAACTGGTCTAGGAGAAGGACAACTCTGAATTCAAAACCTGCGGAGGGTCGTTTGGGAAACTTGTGGCATTGATTGCACCAGGTTTCTGTATTCGCCCCTCAAAAAAGTGTGGCTGGTCCTGCGAGGCCTTCACCACTATAATCAAATCTCATGTGCCGATGTCGGGATGTGGGTTTCCTGGAAACTTATCGGCCTGACCCTCATACGTCGAACTCGACGGGAGAGTCGATTATTATATATATAATGTGCGTGTGTGTGTGTGTGTGCACGTGTTCATTATGTAAAACATGTTAATATACAAAATTAATATTGTTTTTTTTTAGTGCATGGTTGAAAGAATGTATCTTTGATTCTCTGTCATTAGAAATGAGTGGGAAATATTTTCTGATTTTTTAGTGTAGAACTTCAGAAAATACATGATACACTATAAAGTCTACTGATTATGCTAAATACTTTTTCTTAACCATTTAGTTTGTTGAAAAACAAAATAGGAACAGGTAAATGAATTTACGAAAACAGCATTGGATGTGGAATAGAATTTGTATAGTGTGAAACCTCAGTTCTTGAACTTAATTTGTTTCAAGAAGTCATTTGAAGACCAAAACAATTTTTCCCATAAGAATTAATCTGCTGCTTTGATCACATCCATGTTCTTCAGCATCAAAAAATATCACCTCTAGATCAGACATGCATTCCACTTTCATGTTACACTATTATTTGTTGTTGTTTTTTTTTTTTTTTTTTTTTACTTCAATTGTGTTTCTCATGATTTTCCACTGAGGTTTTCTGCTAATTGGTAACTTTCTTTGGAACCATTAGTGTGCATATAATAATAATAAAATAATATATGAAAATACAATAAAACATACAATGGTGAAATGAATGTACATGGTGTCAAGCCACTGAGTAACTGATGCATCTGCCTGTTCAGGGTTTCTTTGGTTTGATCCCTCTTCATTCGGCTGATGTCTTTTTGAGGACTGAGGTTCCAATGTAATCATTTTTTTTTTCTTGACATGTGTGGGAATGTAGGAATTGAATTTTTATCAAATAAATGCTTTTTTTATGACACTGTAAAAAAAAAATTAATAGCCACAAATAAAACAAACAAAAACAAAAAAAGAAATTTCGGTTTGGTCTGTTTGATTATAATGATGAAATGTTCCAGAGATTATATAATATGTTCACTTTATTTAAAATTTATAGAATGTCTCAAATTTTTCAAAACTTTTTTGTTTGTTTGTATATTTACTTTCTCAGTGGTTAGACCAATTATTAAATGATTACAGACAATGGATTTAAAAATATATATATATGTGTGTGTGTTTTTATGTGTTTATGTATGTATGTATGTATGTAGCTCTTTGTCAGAATTGAGCATACTGGCTGATGGTTTAGCATTTATATACATCACATATATATCATACATTAAAATATTCCCCTTCTCTGCTGTGTGCTGATAGCTTAGGGGTAGAGTCTCTGACTAATGCCAAATCTGTTGAGTTTCAATTCCAGTTTTTAAAAATCAGATGTCCAGCTGCACTGATGAGCTGTGATACAGTGAAACAGTCTGTGGAGATATATATATAGTAAAGAAAGTTTGTCCACATATGCTTCTTATATCGATATAATAAGCTGATGAAAGAAATTTGAGAGATAAAAAACAACAAAAATAATAATATTGATATTTGTTGTTAGTCGGCATTTTGACCAAATGGAAGCTTGATGTAAAAGATTTAAAAAATACCAACAAGAACGCAAAAAATTGAAATTAAGCTACATTTTTAAAATAGCTTCACACATTCTAAGATTAAAAAGGAATTTAGGTATAATTAAAGAATACAATTTCCACAGAAAGTCCCACTTCTTGTTTTATTTCTTGTCTCATTAAGAAAGGACACAAGTGGGTTTGAAAATTCCAATTTCTAAAATTATGCTTCCATAAAAATATTATTAGTTTTGTTTGTCTTTTATCTCTTGAATTTCTAGTACCAGCCTTATTATATCTACATCAAGGATGTACCATCTGGGTAGGCAAGGTAGGCAGTGTTTACCCTGAATAAAATAGATCAACAGCTACATTTTCCTTCTATGCTACAATATACACCTCATCCAAGAAAATTATGAAAGTTACTCTGATTATGCATAAAATGCAAAATATTTTATTTTTTTTATAGATTTACTACATAAAGGTCACTAGCTGCCTACTCTGAGTAATTACTGACAGAACATGCTTCATCTACATTTTATATATATATATATATATATATATATATAAAAGTTGGATGAAAGAAGAATTGCTACTTAAATACACAATTATTAAATTACATGACTATGTAATGTAGGAAAGTAACGCACCAACATTCCAACAAGAAAAATTAAATAAAAAATTTAACCGCAGTTTTTTTTTGTTGATCATTTTTAGCAGAACTTTATATATATTCTGTTTACACATTATTTTTATAGATACAATTTAGTTAAGTAAATACTCTGTCTTTAATTAAACAGTATTAATTACATTTACCAGCCTGAATTTCTTGAACATTCAGGCCAGCAAATGTAATTAATACTGTTTAGTTAAAAAACAGAACATGTACTTAAATAAATTCTATCTATAAAAATAATGTATAAACAGAAAATAAATTAAATAATTGTCAGACTTAATCATTTCATTTATATATATATATATATATATATATATATATATATATATATATATATATGGGGTGTTATATTCAAAAACATTTAACTAACAATCTTAACAAATCATTTAACGCTTCCATATCTTAAAAACTATTGAAAAATGTTTTTTTGTTTATTTATGGATTGTTTTATATCAGTTTAACTTTTAACACTCTGCAATATTAATATTTCTTCCCTTTATACCGCATTCTTTTTCAAGCCTTATCAATGGCAGTATCCTTATTGTTATTTTCACTCAAACTTGTTTACTGTTGCCATAGTAGGATATGACGACACAACTATGATGTTCCAAGCAGACTGATAAAGGTTAAGAATCATTTCAACAAAACCACTTTTATTAACACAAAAGAAAAATGTTCCTTAATTTTAAATCGTTTCCATTGATCTTCGTTTCAGAAAATCTTAATCAAATCCAAAAGGATTAACTGTTTTAATTCTTTTTTATCTTCCTATTTGTTACTGATTTAGTAAAGAAAAAACAATATTGTTGCTGTTACAATAAAAATGACAAATTTAAAAGTAAATCTTTTTTTGTTTTTATACAGACGTCCGAGAAGAAATCCTCAACTCCTAGCTCTGGTACCACAACTCCTACTCCTAGAAAGGTAAGCAAATCTCTTATTTGTCTAAATAGAATTTAATAACATTTCTTTGCTGTTGTCAGTTTTGCAAAGTTTTTAATATATTCTGTGTACCAGATTTTCTTAGTTCTTTATCACACACAAAAAAAAAAAAAATCAATCTGTAGGTTCTACAAAAGTCAAAAATTCAGAAATTTATTAAATTAAAATTTTAAAAAAAGTAAATTATCAGCACACTTGTCTAAAGATATGTTATGGTGAAAGTGTGGATAATTTGTGAATTACCGTCGTATTTTGTTTAGGAGATTCTAAGTTGAAATCTAATTTCCATGCATAGCTACAGTCAGCTTTTTTTAATCAATTCACCTCAAGCAAGGTGATATTACCACTAAGACACAAGGGGCTACTGGAAGTGAAAAAGAATGGAAAAACTTCAGAAAAAAATAGAAAACCCAATCCTAAACAGGGAACAAGGGATAAACATCTACTCCTGTTCAAAAGACTGGGCAGGAGTGTGAACCAGATGATAGTCAAGCCTATATATTACTATTAAGGAGAGAAAAAAAAATCTTAGTAAATAAATTTTTCAGAGTTCAGATAGAGATGCTACAAGTATAGAATTGAAGTAAGTTTTAGAAAGAACTGGAAACCCAATCCTAAACAGGGAACAAGGGATAAACATCTACTCCTGTTCAAAAAAACTGAGCAAGAGTGTGAACCAGGTTGATAAGCAAGCCTATCTACTCTTATTATTGAAGCTTAGAAATACTCAATCTTGTCAATATTATCTTCAATTTTTATTAAATTGCAATCTATCAAGATTATGATGATTTCATTTCTATTTGTGGCCATAACACAGCAAAAATGTCTCTTTTAGTTATGACAATACCATTAAGATGGTCTAACTTGAAGGATCTGACAATTTCTAATCCAATTGTTAATTTAAGAATATGGTGGTCTATATGTTCATGCTTATTCCCAATAATAATAATATAGATCTGATTTCTCTGTTTGGTCTGTAGGCTAATTGGTAAGTTTCATACATTGGAGGTTTTATTAACTCCTGAGCTAGGATGCTGAAACTGTTTAACCCACTGGTGCTTAATGTCTTCTTTTTTTAAGAGAGGGAGTTAATAAAATTTAAAATCTACCAACCATAACACTGCCATTAGCCATTGTGATAGATTAGGAAAAAAAGCTAAGAATTTTAGACAACTTGATGCAGTAATTGGTTAACTTCATTATTACTATTACTGAACATTTGATAAAACCCTTAAGAGAGAAAAAAAATCCCTCTGGCTCAAAGTGAGCAAGTAAATTAGTTTTGAAAAAGGCATGCAACTTTCAATTCTTAGTAATTCTTTGAAATCCCAAAAGTTACCTCAAACTTTTGACCTCTAGTGTGTGTAAGTAATATATATAAGTGGTGACTCTAGGTCATCAATGTTTGTCAGGCTCATTACAATCTTATATACTATTGCTATAACTTAGATGTTAAAATAATTCTTTTACTCTAACTAAAATATGTAATTTCTAAAAATCTCTGTGCATGAAATCTAAAACACATTTTGGGATTTTAATATTAGTTGTAATAATTCTATAAAAATATTTATTTAAAAAGATTTTTGCAGGCATGTAAGAAAAAAATGAGTAAGGACAAACACTTTGATATGTTTGTCTGTTTATTGCCCCTTTCCATTTGTTATTGTTTTATAGCCTGATTATTAAGTCACTGATGGTAGAGATAGGAATAGTTGACTGAGATCAAATTTCCTCAACACTACTCCAGTCACACTCTTCACCTCAATCCTCCAGTTGCTGGGTTAAGGCTGCAAATTTTTTGATTTTCACCAGCTTTAAGTCCAGCTAAATTTAATTTGGCCTTTTTCAATTGATACATTCAGCTAAAAAACATTATACTGTATGGAATCAATTATTTAAAATGGACATTTGAAAACAATAAGTTGAAATAAAAATATGTTCTTTGAAAAACAGGGTATGCAAGTCATTAGAGATTTTAAAAAGATTATTTATAAAATTAGAGCAAGAAATACATTACCTATTAAGTATGTCTTCAGCCTGATCTATAAAGCCTGACTAGCCATGTTAATTTTATTTCATTCTTTTTCTTTTACTTTCCTTGTTAGTTTTTCTTTATATATATATATATATATTGAACAATAAAAAATATTAAAAAATTAAAATATTTAGACACACTGGGTTGTAGATTAATATTCTTTCGTTTTTATTATTATTATTATATTTAGATTCCTCGACTAGTTTTGGCCAAAATGGCCATCATCAAGAGAAGAAATATTTCTGCTTGCTGGTAGCAGTAAACTATATATATATATTCTCATTTCATCCCAAGCATGGCAACAAAACCACTAAGTCACAGGGAGGTCACTGAGTGTGAAAGAATATAAGAAAAAGAAAAACATTATTAAGGAGAGAGAACAATAAAAGAAGTGGAATTAGGAAGACAATAGATAATGATTGACATTGCGTTTGAATTTTTGGAGTTCAAAGTAAGAAGCCAGTAGAGAGCCTCACAAGAGTGAAGTGCAAGAGAAGAAACTGTTAGCATAGAACTTATGGTTACATCTAGTCAATTCAACTGTAAAATGAGGAGACATTGTTGCCAATCTAGTATTGTACTTGAATTCATAAAGTCTAGGTACCATAGAGGAAAGTTCATCAGAACAATTGCCATGAAATTATTTATAGAAAAAGCACACGGAAGCTACATTATGGCAATGGGAAAGTGACTGAAGCCAAGATGTCAGGTCAGGACCGATAACATTGCAGATTCTTTGGATTTTATCAAGAATTTCTAAATATATAGCAGGAGTCCCAAACCATATGCGACAGCAATATTAAAGCCTGGACAAATGGTAGACTTATAAATATATAAGATAGATTCTGGAGAGAAAAATTGTCTAGCACTTTTTCTAGCAGCTGACCTAGCAATTGATTCAATGTAACCTTTCCACTTCATGCTAGCTGAGAAGGTGCAGCAAGTCATACTCGCCTGGAGGTTAGCATCAGCCATGCTGATGGAAGACGGAAAGAGGCCTCTCGGATGATTAAGGAGAGCAGTTTAATTTTGGAGTCATTATAATTAACAAATGTGATTTAAATCATCTATTAGAAATAGTTGTAATTATTTATGGATATGTTTTTAAAGTGAATTTTCTCTACCCAAGTGGCACAAATAAAACACGATGAAGGATGACCTAGATTAAATAAAATATCAACCACGATTAAGATTCTCCACTAAACACATTAAAGTCCTCTTGCCTATTCTTATGCTTTGAGTAGCTTGTGTTTCCCTCCATCATTTATTCCATTTGGATTCATTACATTCATTTATGTGCAAATGCCCTTGGAAAACATATTAACCCATCTCATCATTCTCCAGCTATGGGTTAAATAGTAGGACTTGTATCTGGAAAAATCTTTTTCTCCAAAACATTGTTAATGCAATATTCATTTCCAAAAAGAAAAAAAATAATATATATATATATATATATATATATATATATATATATTCTTACAATCCCAAACCCTCCATCATGCATTAGATAGGATCCCTTCCTCTCAAAAGGAAAAAAAAAGGTAACTAGTATACTAAAATACTTCCCAACTTCTTTTCTATATTGAATAATCCATGTAGATGTTGATGTGCCAGAGAAAGATATATACTTCTGTTTTCAACAAAATTTCATTTGATTTAGACAAATAGTTATTTACTAAATTTAGCCTAGTCTAGTATAAGGTCATAAATATGTGGTAACCTGTGTGAAGAGAAGATTGTATGCAACAGAAATGTTCTACAGAAGGATGATGAGAATACCACTGAGAGAAAAAAAACATTCAGAATCAGAAAGAAACAGATGAAATTTCTTTGACACATAATGAGGAAAGAAGAATTGGAGAATTTGACACTCATAGGACATATCAGAGCCAAAAGTGATGGTGTGCAGTGGACCATTTGACAAGATTGTGTGAATGGATGGTGAAATGGGGCAGGGAGAGATGGCAAAAAGACAAATGATACAAGAGATAGAAAGTTGTGGAGAGCCATGATCACCCATGACTTAAACGCGCATGACAGAAATAGTGACTGTTTAGTAATAATGAGGTACCAGACCAGATTAGTTTGTTGACCATTGCACTATATTATTTTTTTTTTTTTTTTTTTTTTTTTAGTCTGCTGATATAATTTTATTTTCTTAACCAAGAAGGAATTGAAATGTTGGGATGGAGAATGGACAAGTCAAAAATGAAATCCTTTATTTTTCATTATTTCAAATTCTAAAACAATTCCATAATTATCTGGTCTGGTGCTTCTACTATATATCTCAGGATTCTTGACAAAATTCAAAGAACAGTCTGTAATGTTATCAATCCTGACCTGGATTCTTGACTTCAGTCATTATTTCACCATCATGACATGTCTTCCCTCTGTCTCTTCTACAAATTTTCATGGCAATTGTTTTTAGTCTCTTGACTGCATAGTACTAGATTGGCAATTAGGTCTCACTCTTTTACTGTTGAACTAGCTAGATGCAACTGTCTGTTCTATTCGAATAGTTCCTTTTTTTGCCTGTGAAACTCCATTCCTTCCGATTTCTTGCTCCCCTGCTACCTACAATCTTCAAAAATTAAAAACAATGTCAATCTCCATCTTATCTCTTTCTGAATCCTGTTCCTTTATTGTCCTTTTCTTGATTTCCTCTCACTAAAGTCTTCTCATTCTCTTTCACTCCTTGTAACTCCCTCTGTCCTGGCAGCATTATCTTGCTTAGTGGGGAAATGATTAAAAAAAAAAAAAAAAAAAAAAAAAATATTTGTATATACCACCTTATTTTTATTGTTCACTAGGGAACTTTTTAGTCTCCCTCAGTCATCTCATAGCAAGTTCTCTTTAATTTTCTTCACTAGTCAAAGAGAAATTTATTTTCTCTGGTACAATGAATTGATTATTTAAGAAATTTTGCTGTACAATTGTGGACCTGTGT